CCCTAAACCAACCAAGGTACTTGGGAAGTCCACTCTTCAACTTCGCACGGCTCCGCCACGCGAACCGCGGCGCTGGCCGCAGCGGCGCCGCTGCCGCGGCGGCAGCGACGAGGAATTTCTCCGGGCTTCCGAGACCGCTGCGTTGGGTGCCCGAGACTGCAAATAATTACATGGTTAGGAGTTTAGGGTTTAGGGTTGAATATTTAGGGTTCAGGGTTTTATCAGGTTTACAGGGGTTCATGGGGCTTGCCTTCACGGTTTAGGCGTTTAGGATCGGTGGACCTAGTGTATAAGTAGATGATATGCAAGGCGAAAAAGCCAAACTCCCATGAAGGGATCCGTAATACACCCTACCTCAACCCTAAACCCTGAACCCCTAAAACCTAAAACCCTAATCCCTAAACCCCAAACCCCTCAACCCTAAACCTAACGGGGTTCGCCCCACCCGCTGGACTGCGGCAGGACGCTGGGTCTGAGGGCTAAACCTCAACAGCTGCATTGCTGGGTCCTCATTCCTTCGAGCAGAACTTCACTTTGTCAGTGTCTGCACAGTGGTTTTTAGGGCTTTTAGGGTTTAGGGTTTAGGGTTTAGGGTTTAGGGGGCTGGTTTAAGGTTTAGTGTAGGGTTTCGGAGATTAAGAAGTGCTTTGGAAGGGGCTTGCAACTTTTTTGATGAGAGCTTATATGCGTTTTCGGATCCTATGGCCTATATACCTACGCAGGCTGTCATATCAGGACTGGCTGAGATGGTCCACGTACACATTGCAAATATATATATATATATATACATATATATATATATATATATATAGATAGGCAGGTAGATAGATAGACAGATGAAGGACAGCGGGAGAGGGTATTTTCGGTAGACAGCTATCTAGCTTGCTAGCTAGATAGGTAGATAGATATATGAACGGATGGATGGATGGATGGATAGATAGATAGATAGATAGATAGGTAGATAGAAATGATAGAAATGATACGAATGATAGAAGCGATAAAAAGATACCGGGTTGGAGCTATCGGTGTAGGGGTTTGGAGTTTAGGGTTCAGGGGTTCAAAATTAAGTTTAGGGTTTAGGGAGGTTAGGGTTTAAGAAAACCTGCGAGCTAGCAGGTTCACGCTATCGCAGGTATACTATCCTCACGACCTTTTGTGAGGTATCCCAGACTGTCCATATATACTGATGTACTACCAGCTCGTATGGAATTTGGTCCCAAAAGAGCATCCTTTTTATAATTTTGGTGGCCTAATTCCAAAATCGTATATGTGACGCTTCTTGGTTACCCATGTTATAGTTCATAGTTCCCAAAAGGGTCCAAGTGGTAGCTACTTTGTAGGTAATTGGGCCCCAAAGGTATACACTATACTATAACCCTAAACCCTAAAGCCCTAAGCCCTATGGACTTGTTCCACCTCACCACGTCTCCAAGTTTAATAATATGGTTAAGGGTTTAGGGTTCAGGGTTTAGGGTTCAAGGTTTAGGGTTTAGGGTTTAGGGTAGGGTTTCTGTAATTAGTTAGGAATATTCATTATGATTTGGGAAGGTTTCCTGCGTAACAGTACCTAGGACCCTGTGGCTAAGTTGCTTTATTGGACCGTAAACCCCTAAACCCTGAACCCTAAAGGGATAGAAAAGTCGCCACTTAGTAGTAGGGGCTCTAAAGTACATACTCTACTATTCCTTGGGCCCTTTGGCTTAGGTGCACCTTGGCTATGCGGAGATGGACAGTCCTTCGATCCCTGTGCAGTGGGAAGCCTTCTTCGAGGCAGAGTTTTCTCTCTGTTGGTGGCTGAGCTTAAACTGACAATTAATATAAGGGCCTTAATAATAAGAATATGGTTTGGGGGCCCAATATACTATAATCATAAGATGGAACCCCAAAGTAGGAGTCGTAATTGTTTAGGCCTCTACATTGCTTTTTCAAGGTTGAGGATTTAGATTCTAGGGTTCTGGGTTTCAGATTGCCTGGTTTAGGGTATCATCGGTTACTGGAAGCAGGCTTTGAGTCTTTACATACTGTTGATGATGTAAATCCTGCATTACCTTAAGGATCCTAAACTATGGGAATGATGGTATATTCCTTATTCTGGGTAATGCAGGATTTATATCATCAACCGTACACCACCCATGGGGTTCTCAGTGGGTTTAGGGTTTTAGGGTTTAGGGTTTAGGGTTTAGGAAAGCCACAAGCCCTAAGCATATTAAACCCTACAAACCTTACACTCATTGTGGTTCATAGTACCGAAACCCATGTGAAACATTAAGGCCTACAAGCCCTAAACCCACCCCACATTGTGCTCAGGCGGTATTTAGGATTCCTAAACCCTGAACCCTAAACCCCAAACCCTAATTTTCTAAAACCCTAAAGCCCTACCCTAACCCTTAACAACAAACCCTAAATCCTAAAACCCTAAAGCGCTGAACCCTTAACCCTTTAGGATCCATCAGGCTTATTAGGTTTGGAGCAGCGGCTTTCTCGACCGATGCTTGTGCAGAAGCCCTCGTAAAGAATTCCGGGTGCCGATTCCTCTGGTCTTTTTGGGTACTGCGATTCCTTGGGGGCGTTTGGGTTTTGGGGTTTTGGGATCAACCCTGAACCACAAAATCCTAAAAAGCACAATTTGTGGGTTTGGGATTTCACGTTTGTCCCAAACCTGATGCCCTGAGCCGTTATTGACCGCGGTCTACATTGCGGAATTCATGTAGCAAATACCGAGGGATCCCTGGTATGATTCGGGGTAAGCACAGGCAGCTTCAACAATAAACCCTAAACCCTAAGCACAGGAGATTTAAGAAGGAAATCGTTCCGACAAGATGGTGGGGCAGCGTCAACCCTAGGGGTCCATGTCCTCATATAGTATATACATTGGCCGCAAAGTACCTATATATGGACTACTTTATGGCCGAAGTATATGTATATATGTACATTTATGTATATATATATATATATGTATCTGTATATATATATATATATCTATATATATATATATTCTCATTATTATTAGGGTACGTGGACCCTTATTATAGTAAGGGTAACAGAATCTAAGGTCTGTGGAGGAATCTAGGGCTCGCTGGGGTGCCCAACCCTAAACCCCAAGACCCAGAAGCCAAAGCCCCCCCTTATAATACACAGCCGCTGACGTTCAAATGCGACCCAACCTGAATCCCTAAGCCCTGAAGCCCTAGTGTTTAGGGTGTAAAAGCTTTTCCCTAAGGGTCCATGTACCCGAATAGTACATACTTTGGCC